GATTGTCCTCCCTCTGCTACTTCACTAGCCCACCATCTGCCTAGGACCGGGGTGAAGACTGTGAAGCACTTTTGTCTGGTGTAAAATATAAAAGGCATGAAAAAAAAAAACCAAAGCAAACCTCAGTAATCCAGGTGAATCAAGGCAACAACAACAAAAAAATCTATGATGAACAAAATATCAATATTTGAAATAAAGTCAGTGTCATCTGACCCTGAGGCAGAAGGGGAAAAGGCAGTAAGTGATCCCGTGTTTTAAAAATTATTAGTTACATTTTATGATGCCAAGGTGAGTGACTCACTTGCCTTGTGCTAGTCCTGGCCCTGACCTGCCTCCTCTGTGATCTGTTTCATGGCACAACAGGCTCCTTGCCATCCTGAAATTATCAGAGGATATTACTTCTAGCCCAGCTTTTAGAATGTGCTAGGGACAATAGGAGTGAACTCAAAATGTGCAGATGACTTCATTTTTTCTTACTTTTCCCCTTAATTACTAGCAAAGCCAGTCCCAGGCAAAAACACAAACGCTGGTCACCTAGAGTCCTGAAGTTTATAAAAGGGCCTCCAATGAGAATTCAAAACAGGGTGTGTTCATGCCGTGTCTGTTACATGGGCCTTCCAAGTGAAACTCGATCTAGACACATATTATCAAAACATAGAGGAATCTGAGCTCTGATTAATGTTATCACTTAAAACACATACTGTACTTTTCATAGGGACTAACAATGCCTGAGAAGAATCAATGTGTGAGAATAAACTGAAAATATGTCCAGAAACCGTTGGAGGTAGGGGTGAGTACAGTGGTTCTGAATATTTTAGGTAAATATTTTTGGGGAGATGCACCAAATAAATTATTGAAGATTCCAATTCTTTCCAAAACGTTTGCTTGGCTGTACCATTTTTACTTCAGATGAAAGGACTCGGTATTTAGCTCCTATGTAAAGAATTGTTTTTTGCTATAGATTAAAGAATTTAATCTAAATATTCGAGGTGGTGGCATGTGGTGAATTCTGATCTTCAGTGCCCCGATAGGACAGTGTGAGATTCAGGCTACACCAGTGGGAAATTTCAGTTCAACATTTCATCATCGTCAGCCATGACAGCCTGGTAGAGTGGGAAGATATGGGCTTTGGAGTCAGACAGACCTCAGAGAAAAGTTCAGCTCCAGTCTGTCTCGGCTGTCTGATCTTGGCCCTTTCTGTGCCTGTTTTCTCAACTGTGAAATGAGCCTACTTTGTGAGGTCACCAAAAGAACGAAGCAGACAGGCTGCAGGGAGCATGTGGCACGGGCCTGGCCGGGGGTACCCTGATTAAATTATTGCTGTGATTATCACCATAGGCTTTAGTAAGTGTCTGGAAGTTATCTGAACTGATCAACAAAGATGGTTTCCAAGGAAAGGAAACAACGAAACCTGGAAGTATTTATGTGTGCTGTGACTAGAGAAGAGGGGTTGAGGGGCCCAGTGTCAGGTATTTCAGATTGAGCACTTCATTTTGGTAAGAGTACCAGGGAAAACACTTTTGAGTCGAGTGATATTTCTTTAAGAAGAGGCTCTCTTTCCTTGCCAAAAAAGAGCAGCTGATCACGGTCATGGTTATTATGTACAGTTTTGTTCTTGACATTTTAAAAGATCCAGAAAAGAGCTTCAAAAGTTCATCCAAAAGTCGACAGGAAGCAGTGGTAGGAAGAACGGCTATAAGAGAGTTGGAGTCGTTCATTCCAGAGAAGAGAGGGTCTTTTCATTTCAAATGCATGAAGTGTTAAGACACTGATGCTATCCTATTCCTTTCAAACCCATCAAACAGAAGCAAGCACTCTAATCAAAGCTTTTTCTTAGATGGATGGATGATTTCCCCTCCACAAGGGAAGGAGTCAACTGAGCAGATGGCTTTTTGAGATCTCTTATAGTTGTAAGCCTTTGCACAAATATGGAAGTATAAACAGAAACCCAGCTCACTGATGCAAGGTAATTTCAGTTGCACCCTATTTAAAATGAGGTTGAACAAGCGCTTGGAAGGGTGGAAAGAACGGGAGCCAGGAATCAGGTGGAGTGGGTTTGAATCTGCACCCAAGACTCACTTATTGGGGGGAGATATGTCAGTAAAAGAACTCAACTCTGCTCAGTTGCAGCATGGAGACAATGTCTGCCTATTAAAGTTCCTGAAGGGATTAAGTAAGCTAACACTGGCAAAGCCTCTGATATGTTGACTGGCACATAGTGAGTCTTCAATGTATGAAAGCTATTATTCTGGTTGACCAAAAAAAAAAAAAAAAAAAAAAAGAAAAAGACTGACAGGTTGCCTTTAAAGCATGAAAAGAGCAAAACCATTCTGGTTATCCTTGTAGTTAAAACCTGCTAGGAAAATTTGCAAATTCAAGTTGGCAGACTGCCTACCACTGACATTCCCTGGACCCACAGGATCCACCCTGCAAACCAGAATTTGTCCAAGTCAAGGAATGCTGGAAGGGCAACTTGCTTCTTTGTGCTAGGAAGCAGAGGAAACTGAAGGCGAAGTCTGAGGCATCTTGGTGTGAATCTGGTTTCTCTCACTGTCACCACATTAATCAAATTAATTCTTTTAAAAAGGTTCCAAATACCTTGGCATAAATTCCCTACAATAGGAATATATTCCACCTGCCTCATCGTTTATGTCTGTGCACATCCCACTGACTTGTGATTCAAACCAAGCATAGTAAAAATGTTAGTCAAAAAACAGACTTGCAAATCAAACTGACTGTCAGAAACCATAATTATGATTTTTCTCCTTTATGAATGATAGAAAGCTAAAAATGGATGTCAGTAAGAAACAGTTTCTCACAGCAATGAAATGCACTGGTCAAAGCTTTAAACTGAATAAAAGTGACTCCTATTTCTATGAGGTTTTTTTCTATAAAATGTAACTTTTTTGGTACAACACCAGCAGTATTCCATATTTAGCATTTACAGACAGGGTTGCTCTGGTTTTTGTTCTTTACTAGCAGGATGCCAGGAGGCTGTGGAGAATAGGAAAAGACAGAGGAAACGCAAGGTACAAACATGAACACAAAGAGAGGTCCCAAGGAGAACGTGTCCAGGAACATGGGGGTGTTGCCCCACGCCTCTCTGTTGCTCAGAGAATCAAACTTGGCTTGGAGAGCACTTCCTGTTTCCATCAAAAGGGGAACAGGTTACAGTCAATGGAACCCAACATTCCAGACAAGAAGGCAGAACAATGCACTTTGAGCCTATGCAGTCACAGGAAAGAGCAGCTTATTTTTCTTGGGAGTGAACAAACGCATGATGCCTTCCAAAATGACTCCCTCTATGTTGGGATCTTGTTTGAGTCCCAGTGTAGCTCCATGGAGGCCATGGAGCCATTAAATAATTCCCAAGTGGGAATCACATGATGTTGAAGCAGCCCTTCTCTTACCTTAACACAAGTTTACATTGTGGGGCCACATTAAAATTCACTGCTGCAAATGCATTAATTTCAAGGGTCAGGAAACCACTGGGGTGTTGAAATAGTTGATAGACTTTAACCTAAATATCTCAGTAAGCTCATCTTTAGGTTCACCATTTTCATGGCTTTTTTAGAAAAAGGGGGTATCAAAAGTCATTTGAAATCTATTGCAGCGATCCTGACTTTGCTTAGAGTTATCATTTTCAAATTATGCTTCCTTAAAACCAAAGATATTATCAATCTGAGTGCATAACACTTACAAGCTGGTTCATTTCTTATTATTTCATATGTAGAACTGGATCAAAGACAAAAACTGAAATGGCAACGAAGATAAAAGTCAAGAACATTATGGAAAGAAAAAACAAAACAAAAAACAAACCCCAGGAAGTTCAAGGAAAGTATCTATGATGCTGGACATTTAGCTCAAAAGTCCTCGTTACCAAGGTGATGTTAAAACCATGTTTCACTTCCACATGCCTCTGTCCAAGTCCCCTTAAGCACCCTGGTTGAGACTGTGGATTGACTGTGTGAACTACTTCCCAAGAATAGGTAAAAACTCTTTTAGCAGTTTATTTAGCATTTAAGAGCACTTGCATAAATGCCAATGAAAGTCTGGTCAGGAAGCAACTGGCTTGAAGAAACAGGAACTTTGAAAAATGCTTATCTCAATAGCAAGGGGTAACTCACAAGCTTGGAGTATGTAGTTATCTAATTAATCCAATCCTCTGAGGTCACAGGATGTTTGATGTGAGGAAGGACAACTAAACCATGATACCTAAACTCTATACTTGAAATGAATGCAATTTATAATTAGGTGGTAAAAAAAATTCTGCCTTATCCAGACTTTACTAGTTATAGGACATATACCAGGAGGTAGCTAAAGTTATGGTGACAAGAGAAGTTAAGTATTTTCAGGCACTTTGACTCTGTTTCTATCCATAGTAATGTCCTTCTAGATTAATCTTCCCTTTACTCGCTTTTCCTCTTCCTCTTTTGTCTTCTTCTTCTTTTTTTTTTTTTAAATAAAAAATAGACATTAGTGCTTTAGTTAATTTTGGAAATATGCTTTGAGAAGGTCTTTCAGAGATATTTTTTTTTTCTTTTTAAAAATGACTCCCAAATAGACTTTTCAGATAACACAAAGCCCAAAGCAAATAGCAGACTCTGCTAATATGGTCATGAAAAGAACAGAGAGACCTTCTGAAGTTGGGTGGCCAAGTGCTAAAATGACTGAAAACACTCTAACAGAAGGCAAATTAAGGTATCACTCAGGAAAGCAGCAGTCAAAGCAGCCCAAGGCTGCAGAATTCTTTGCAAACTTCCCAGTGTAACCAGCACTGGTTGTTTTCAACAAGGTACTTCCTGAGCAGTGAGACAAACTCAGCTTTTCTTGACATCAGGAAACAACACTGTTCTCGTTTTTCCTCTCTGAGACACAGTGCAGAACCCAACACATTTCAAGGACGTATGATGTGGCTCTTGTTGATCTGTGAACTGGCTGCTGATTTGGAAAAGGAAATTGTATTCAAGCTCAAACACACCACACTAGCCGAGGTTTACCTGCCATAAGCAAAACGCCTGTCTTTGTGATGATCACCAAAAGTATCCCAGAGCCTGAGAGAGACGCTCACTTCGTCCACAACATCCCGGGATCGCTCCAAGACCTGCAGGAGAGACAGCATCCGTGCTCAGGGGGACTCAGAGGCTTTCACAGACCAGCTGAGTGCACCCTCTCAAGGCCCCGTCACTCACATTTATCTCCTTATCCCTTCCAACAGGACCTAAGCTAAGTCCTCTCTCTATTCCCGGAACCCCGTGACTCAAACCCTCTTTCAGGATACCAGACCCACATTCCCAAGCTCACGTTTGCTTTGTTTTCTCTTGTGACGCTAAAAACCTTAGTTTTGTTTTGATGTATAGTTTACCCATCATCTCCCCCCCCCCTTTTTTTTTGACAGGCAGAGTGGACAGTGAGAGAGAGAAAGGTCTTCCTTCCGTTGGTTCACTCCCCAAATGGCCGCTATGGCCGGTGTGCTGCGCTGATCCGAAGCCAGGAGCCAGGTGCTTCCTCCTGGTCTCCCATGCGGGTGCAGGGCCCAAGCATTTGGGCATCCTCCACTGCCTTCCCGGGCCACAGCAGAGAGCTGGACTGGAAGAGGAGCAACCGGGACAGAATCTGGCGCCCCAACTGGGACTAGAACCCGGGGTACCGGTGCTGCAGGTAGAGGATTAGCCAAGTGAGCCGCAGCACCGGCCCATCTTCCTAGTTTTTTTTAAAAATTAAACGAACGGCAACTATGTGCCCTACAGATGCTAAAGGCACTCTGCACATCTTACCTCCTGGCAGACACGGTACTGGTCGATGGCCCATACGGTTGGCACATGGGTGGCCAGCAGCTGATACTGCGTCAGCGTAGTGTTGCATGCTCTGGCACAGATCAGCCGTGTCTTCCCCACTGCGTTGTCACCCACGACAACGCACTTGATGGTTTCAACGTTGGGTCTTTCGTAGTCCATGTCAGTGTCCATTTATGACAATCTGTAAGAAGAGAGGTTAATGATACGTTAATACGTTAATGATACTGAGGCTTTGCAGAGTAATCAAAGACATGCGAGGTTCAGGCAGTTTTGCCTTTGTCTGACCACCTCTTTGGAGGTGCCCAAGTGCAGGCAAGCAGTCTGGGACTTCATACTAAGCCTAATGGAAGCTTAAGTTTTCTTTTTATATCTCACACAAGTACAAAAACACCAGACTGTTATTTTGACCCCACAGAGTTTATTCTGGTTAACATATTATTTTCTCCTTGGTTTTCTCTAAACACCACCTTCCTACTGCAGATTCATCCAGACGTGGTCAGGACAGCTGGCACACAGCTATAGCTCACCAGCTACTCGTGTTGACTGGCGTGTGAGACTGGTTACTTGTAGTGTTACCCTCTGATACTGAGGCATAAGCTGCCTGTCAAAACTAATGTCCACCCTATCACAGTCTTCCCAACTTCCAACATCTGCTGATGTTGTTGGGTAGCAGTTGTCCCTAGTTTCAAAACTATTACGGTGACATAGCAGAGAATCAACAGAGCAGGCTGAAAGACTGACTTGAAAGGAGAGTAAGCTGAAGTCTGAATTCCAATATATTAATCCAACTAGCATTTATTCTTTATATTAATCAATTATCGAGAGGTTCCACCATAAAGCAAGATTTAGAAAAAGGAGTCTCGGGGCCAGTGTTGTGGTGTAGCAGGTAAAGCCACTGCCTGCAATGCTGGCATGGCATATGGGCACCAGTTTGAGTCTCAGCTGCTCCACTTTTGATCCAGCTCTCTGCTAGTGTGCCTGGGAAAGCAGTGGAAGATGGCCCAAGTCCTTGAACCCCTGCACCCATGTGGGAGACCTGGAAGAAGGTCCTGGCTCCTGGCTTTGGTTCAGCTCAGCTCTGGCTGTCGTGGCCATTTGGGGAGTGAAGTACCAGATGGAAGATCTCTCTTGTCTCTGTCTCTGTAACTCTTTCAAGTAAATAAATCTTAAAAGAAACAAAAACAAAAACAAAAACCCAGAATCTTTTCCTCTCCATACTTTCGTCAAGAGACCTAGAGCACATGGTAAAGAAGGATTTCACAGGAAGAGGAAATAGTTTGGAATCTTCCTGAAATCATCAAAGATTTAAAGAGGATTGCTGGGTGTGGGGTCAGGAGCAAGATGGCAAGTCACTGCTTCCCCAGGCACAGGACTCCTACAAACTGGCGAGTGAGCTGCTTAGTGGTAGCAGCTACATGAGAAGAGACCAGTCAGTAAGATTTTAATGAATTATAATTATCCCTTTTGAGGAAGTCTATTGTTAAACTGAGAACACTGGTTACATGATCATTTTTTTAAAGAGTCAAAATGATTTTAACCGCTATGGTAAAGAAATCATTTATGGTAGAGCCTAAGGTATAATTGAGAGACTGAGTAACTATTTAATTCAACTGGTTTGAGAAAAATGGTAATTTGGGTCATATGAGATTCTAGGCATTGATGGAAAGATATGAGGAAAAATACTCAGCATATTTTTCCACAGTTAGGACTATCTGAATGAGGAACTGTCTTGGGAAGGGAGGGGAACTGTCGACTGTAACGTCCAATCAAGAGGTGTGAAACCCAAGGCTGGAGAATGATTTGGCAGGCATGGAATTGGAGTGATTAAAGGAACAGTGGTTAGTTTAGGATTTGTGGTTCTTACACTGTGGAGAGGTTTAAAATAGACACATACTGTCCCCTGCCTGGCAAATGCTGATTCTAAACATCTTGGTGAGCAAAGAGAATCTCAAAAATATCTCCAGTTCTGATCATCAGCCAGGTGTAGTGACTCCAAAAATTGATCTCTTTAAAAATTTAGCCTTCAAATTCTATGGTTTTATTAATTTTGTGTTTGATAGTATAATGTAGCAAAACCATGAATTTGTTGTTAAGTCAATGGTTCTTAAATACCCCCCAGGGAACACTGGACAACGTTTGGAGACATTTTTGTTGTTACAATCAGGGAGTTTGAATGGAAGCTACTGGCTCCCAGTGAGTAGAGTTACAAAGATCCTGCTGCTAAACATGCTGCAGTGTATAGGACAATTTCCCACAACCAAGAACAACCCAGTCCCAAGAGTCATGATGCTGGGGTTGAGAAACTCTACCTCAGATAGATGTGAATTTGAATCCTGGCTCCCCTACTATTCAGTCCTTAGCCTTTGGGCAAGTTGTTTGCACTTAATGGGCCTCAGACTCTGCTCTGTTAAGCTAGAAGTATAACATACACATCTTCTAAGGTTGAGAACATTCAGTGAATTGATGTTGGAAGTCCCTCTGCAGGAACTGATGGCTTCAAAAGTATAATCATTGATGCTAAGATGAATATCATTGGATGACAACAAAACTGAGTCAGATGGAAGGTGAGAATTAGATGTAAACTTGTGAAGTTAATGGTGACAAAAAAAATCTATAAAAAGGGCAACATTTAGAACAGGTAACTAAAAGGGTAACGCATTGCTAAAGGATGAAACACAAGGTGGAACACAGCTGACTTTAAGCAAAGAAGGCAGAAAAAATTCTGGGCAGGGAGAGAGGGAGTGAGAAGATTATAATTAACAACAACAACAAAAAAGATAGGTTAAAGGGCTGGTACTGTGGCGTAGTGGGTTAAGCCTCTGCCTGCAGTGCCGGAATCCCATATGGGTGCTGGTTCCAGTCCCAGCTGCTCTACTTCCTATCCAGCTCTCTGCTCATACGCCTGGGAATGCAGTGGAAGATGGCCCAAGTGCTCAGGATGCTGCACACACGTGGGAGACCTGAAGAAGCTCCTGGCTCTTGGCTTTGGATCAGCTCAGCTCTGGCCGTTGTGGCCATCTGGGGAGTGAACCAGTGGATGGAAGACCTTTCTCTCTGTCTTTCCCTTCCTCCCTCTGTAACTCTACCTCTAAAATAAATAAATAAAACCTTTTAAAAAAAGTTAGATTACAATATTTACATAGGGCATTTCTAGATTCCAGAATGAAAAATGGTAACATTTCTTAACAAGATTTGACAAATTTCTGGGGATATTATCATGGGGTAGCATGAATCAGAGAAACAGGTTCCTTTAGAGCCTCACAGCTTTGTAACCCAAAGCATGTTATTTTGGCTGTCCTATGTGGTGCAAAATATTACTCGTTTGAGGGTGAATTTTATATTTTAAGATAAACATTATAGAGAGCCAATCCCTAAAATCTGGAAGAATGCTTAGACACAGTAAAAATTGAGACAGATGCTGAAAACATAAAAATGGTTTTCTTGTTGGCTTGCTAGAAGCTGGTTTTGATAGCAGCCCCAAATGAGGACTCCCCCAGATAATCTGAACCCTGGAAGTACTGATGGGGTAGCTGTTTAGCTTTTACAGATCGCTACTTTGAGAGAGACCAAGGCCTTGCTAGTTTTATATGAAGGCTATAATTACAAAAACTATCACTCTGCTTCACTTATTTTTAGACATACTGCATGCACAGCCTTGAAAGAATTTCTGTGTCAAAGGTGAGGATAACATCCATGGGTACTCTAATCCCTAGCAATCTGCTCAAGACCGAAGTGACTGCCAAGGGTGCTGAACCTGGTGCACAGGGGATAACACGTAAGGGGAAAGAAGATATGGGGCAGAATCAAATGTTCACAGCCCAGATCATTCGCTGTAGGTATGGGATTCCAAGGGAGGCTTGCTGAATCTCCAAATGCTAAAAATTTTTCATTTGGGGTAGAAATTTCTTTCGTGGCACTCTAAAAAAGCATTTTAAGAATGTGAAGTCACAGCCAAGGATTGTAAACTCATACTATCCTTGTATTGTTGTAAATCAGTTGTTCATCTGTTACACATAAACAAATAAACATTTAATTATGGCAGTGATTATAAAAATATGCAATCATCTTCTCCACTTGTGATGGGCTCTAATTTATTCCCATCTAGCACTCTCATGGTTGAGTGAGCTCTTAGGGCCATCTGGATAATGACTATCTGGTTTCTGAGTTTTATTTACCTAAAATGAGGTAATAAATATTACTTAACACTTAATAAATTTCACCACCATAAATCTTACTGATTTGTGCAGACATCCTTTTGTCTATAGATGCACACCTGAGATAAGGAAGGTTGAAAAGAAAAAGCTCGAAGACTGGACACTGGAAACCTTCACCATGGCAGCTTCTGTCACCGCCACTCCAAACTGACTTGTACTTCATTTCACCCTCCCAAGGGATTCTCTGGACGTGGATGCTCATAGTTGAAATGCGACCTGAAGAGTCTACCTACACACTACCTGGGAGTCAGAGTAATAAGTTTATTTGAAAACTGCCAAGTGAACAAGGCAACATAGAGGTTGGAAAGTGAAGGGTGCCCACTAGTCACCAAGCTGACTTAGAAAAGGAGGATTATGACCTTCATGGTCTACATGATCACCCCATAAATTTGATTACACACATTTTGCTGCCATTATGTCTGTCATCCTTTGGATTTTGGGCTACTCTTCCACATTCACTGCCAAGCTAGTGTTCCCACTGTGCCCACAGGATGATACATCTCACATCATGACCTCATGGTTTCTTCACTTCTAAAGTGACCATGATCTTTATCACTCTCTACTTAGGCTGTGTGATAGAAACATTTTACCTCTGAAATCTCAAATTTCAAAATATTCCTTTGGAGCAAAACTCCTATCTTTACAGTCAGTGCTAGGTGATCGAAGGCTGCCGAAGCAACTCCCATCAGCAGGTGGCATCTAGGTCCCTTACTCTTGAACTTGTGGTAGCCCTGCAATCATTTTACCTAAAAGAAAGTGGTGAGGTGTTGCTGTGCCTTTGCTAATCACCAGCTCTGGTCCAATGGTTCTCCAGATTAACCTTGACTCTATTCAAGGGTCAAATATGGCCAAAATAGTGACCACAGCCAAAATAATGACAGAGCCACATGTGACCTCAGATGCCACTTCAAGTCATTTCCCTTCTTATGGTGATATTCCACTCCTACTTTAAAGCCTTGAGCTAATG